GCGAGGGGGCAGGCCCAGGGCTCCCCAGACATCCCCCAGCTGCTGGGGGAGGGAGGCTCCAGCCCCCAGCATCCGGTACCCGACGAAGATCTCGGGGCGGGCAGCGCGTTGCGGCGAGGCGCTCTCTCCACGTCCTCTCCTCGGAGCGGAGGAAAGAGCCGCCACCGCTTCGTGCCATGCGGAGGGGAAGGACCCTGGGCGCCTGGGCGCTCCTCGCCAGCCTGGCCGTGGCCAGCTGGGGTGTCCGAGGTAAGTCCCCGGGCGTCAGTCTCTGCCCGCAGGCTGCTGCAGTGCCGCGACCCCCGGCGTGGCGCGCCCGAGGGACCCCGCGGAGGTGGCGAGGCTGGGGCTCGTCCCGCAGGCTGCAGCGGGTCAGCGGCGGCGCCCGTTGGGCACTCGCCGTGGTCCCTGGAGACTGCCACCCGTATTGCTTCCTCCGCGGGCATCCCTGCGGTGGTGGGAGGGTGGCTGGGAAGCAGGCCCCCGCAGCTTGCCGGGGTTTTCCATCGCGGCACCTTGACGCGAGGTTCGTAAATATCGATGGGGAGAAAGGAGCGAGTGAGTGCAATGGTTCGCGAGGACGGGATCGCTCTGATGACTCTGCCTGCCCTGGACCGTTGCTGTGATGGTCTGGAGCCACGCGCGTTACTCCGTGGCTATCCGTGATGGCTCAAACCCACCTTGCAATGACGGAGCGTGTACGGTTGGACTCGGCAGTGCTGCGGCGTTAGACCAAAGTAGCCATGGGCTTTGTGCCTGGCGCAAACACGCGGGCGAGGAGAGGCTGTGTTCTGTACTCTGCTCCAGCACTCAGCAAATAAGACAAGGAGTTTACTCTCCATTTGCAGACTCTGACAGCGATGCCTTTGGGCCAAAGAAGCAATTCTGTCTGGTTTTTTGCATGCTTTTCACTAAAAATGTTTTTTACTATTGAGTAAAAACGCAAATGGGTTTTTGCCTCCCTGTTTGGGCTCAGCTCCTGTCCCTGCTGGGGGAAACGTTGCACTTTCTGTTGAAACGTCTCTCACTGCAGTCGCGCTTCAATACCAATGCAATCTGTGTGCGGGATGAGGGTCACGCACATACGGTCTGAATAGAGTCCAGGTAGATGCCCCATTCCCGTTAGTTTTCACTCTAAGGGAATTTGGATCTCTAAGCTACCCAGAACTGCATTAATGTAACTACCAGTTGAACACTGGACTACGTTTCCGCTGGGTAGTCTGCTTTTTCTAGAGCTTTTTGTTTGCGGTGTCTTCTCCACTGCTCAGGGGACGGCCTAATGTGATGCTCGCTACACCAGCCATCTCCACGAACGAGATCTCTGAGCTCTGCACCCCTGTGAGGTTGAGATCTCGGCTGTGACGCTCTCTGCTCTCCATTTTTTTACAGGACAGAAAGTAATCGTGAAAGAAGCCAGCGGGAAGGTGTTCCTGCAATGCCTAATGGAGGGCCAAAAATCACTTCAAATCCAATGGCGGAAAGATGGGAATATGATAGGAAACGCAACACAGCTGGACTTGGGTGCAGTTTACGATGATCCCAGAGGCACCTATACATGTGAACTAGAAGGCGGTAGTAAAAGGTCCTCCCTCCAGGTGCACTATCGAAGTAAGTGTTGCAAGCCTGGTTTCTAGAGCCAGAACTGCTTGGAGTTTTCACCCAAGCAAATTTCTGAGGGAACTACTGATTTCCCAGAGTTTGAGGGTGGCTCCACCAGTTTGCCGAAGTCCTGACAGCTCCTGTGCTAGGTTGCTCTTGGGAACAGCCAAGCTGCACGTTCCCCTGCATGTGGCGTCCCCGTGAGAGCTCTACAGCCTCCTTTAGTGCCACGGTACTCGTCCTGCCCTATTGCTAGCCGCTTGCTGGCCCTGCTGTGGCCTGCCCTGAGTGCTGGGGACACGTGGCAGCTTGTGGCGCTGCCTCGGGTCACGCAGCGAGCCAAACTTAATCCCTGGTCTCTCTCCCTGGGACTGGAGCCTGCCTGGGCTGGCAGAGCTGGCTGAGGGCTTTGGGCTCAGACCGACCTTGGCGGCAGGGCGAAGGCGGCCGAGGGGCAGGGTCCTGGTCACGGCCCTGCTTCCAGCGTTGGTGTCCTTTTGGTCTTCCAGTGTGCCAGAACTGCATCGAAGTGGACGCTCCCACCATCTCGGGGATCGTGGTCGCAGATGTTGTCGCCACCGTCTTGCTGGCGGTTGCCGTGTATTGCATCACTGGCCAGGACAAGGGACGCATGTCACGAGGTGAGGGGAGAGCCCCGCTGATGCCTGCGGCTGGGGACAGGGAGCTCCTGGGCATCTTTAGGAGCTGCGTCGTACCTGGGGACTTTCCATCACTGCCCACAGACCCCAGTCACTGCAAGCTGCAGGCAGCAGCCAGCACGCGGTGCGTTGAGGGCAGGGATCCCTGCGAGCGCTCCACGTACCCTTCCTGCCCCTAGCTCGGCTTCCCAGGAGAAGCCATGAATGTCTGAGGCCTTGCGGGGGCTTTCCACCGAGCCTCCCGGAAAAAGTAAAGGCACAGGGCTGAAAGCAGATGGCCGCTTGGGTTTGTTTGCAAATGTTCACCGCACTGCCCGTGATTCCCTGATCCTTGACCGCCTTCTTTCTTCATTTAGCTTCTGACAGGCAGAACCTGATTGCCAACGAGCAGCTCTACCAGGTGAGCGTGGGCTTCACACACACGTGCACGGGCTTCAGCACCTCTGCGTGGCGTGGGGCTGTGTGGTGGGACCGGCGTGGCCACGGCAGCACAGCAGCTGGGGGATACTCGATGCCCCTGAGGGACCCAGAGGATGGGGCAGGCTCAGCTACTCCTGCCTCTTGCTCTCTGGGGTTGTTAACCTCTGTGTGCAGGGAGGGAAGGCTTGCCAAAAGCTTGGCAAAGGGAGGGCTGCGCCAGCTTCCCCTGTACCCTCCCTCCCAGGGCTGGACGGACGCAGCTGTAGCTCATCTCATCTTTTTTTCCTCCTAGCCCCTTGGCGAGCGGGACGACGGACAGTACAGCCGGCTGACGCCTGCCAAGGCCCGCAAGTGAAGTGGGAAGACGCCGGAGCCTGTGACTTCTTCACTCCAGGAGTGATATTACAGCAAAGCCACCGCCAGTGCCCAAGAGCACCGGCACCCTGTCCTGGCACTGCTTTCGTAAGCTCACTGCTGCAGAAGACAGTGCGGGTTTTTGCCTAGAGAGCCCTCCGGCTCCTTGCCATGATGGGCTGCTTGTAGCGCTCTGCTCTTTCCATGGCCTCTTGCACGTCTGTATTCCTCTCATTAAAGATGAGCCTATTCCATAGCCTCCCCGCTCCATCGGTTGCGTCGAGGCCTGGGGAGCCATGCAGTCGCTGGGGAGGGTGAGCGCTGGATGCCATCTGCCTGGATCCCTGCAGAGCTGTAAGGCTCCTGCCTGTCCCGCTAGGACGCTGCTCTGCCGGCGCAGGCAGCTGCCCGTGGCTGTGCCACCGCTCTCTGCCAGGATCTAACTGCCCTCGGGGTCCGTTGCTGAAGCTGAGGATGGGGGACCTCGTGAAGGGAGAGGGTCGCCGCCCCCGAGAGTAGCAGAGGCTTTGTCTTGTTTAACTCCCCTTCCAGAACGGGGAGCGGGGACGCGAGGAGCTCGGCGACACTCAGCAGGGTCTGCGTCACCCCTGCAAAGCGCCTGCGTGCCTCAGTCCCCTGGACAGAGCTGGGGGGCTGGCAGGAGGGAGGACGGGAGGACGTGCAGGGCTTGGCATCTAATCGCAGTCTCCAAACGGCAGGGGCTCGCCAGGTCCCTGGCGCCCAGCCAGCCTGCACGGTGCCCCGGGGCTGGGGGGAGCGAAGCGTGAGCAAACAGGCGAGCTGCGCTGGCTCCCCAGAAGAGCTCACAGGGGCTGGGGCCCAAAGACGAAATGGAATCAGCAGAGGGGACGAGAACTGCAGCAGAGACCGTGCAGAACACGTGGCAGCAGAGATCTTCCGTGGGGCATTCGGCAGCCCCTCTTTCAGGCTCGCTAGCCATCCCAGTGTGCCGACTACAGGATGCAGACGAGCCAACTTTCAGAGCCTTTCCCAGCTCAACCACCTTTCCAGACGCCGAGCAGCACTGGGTCGGCCCACACCAGCCCAGCTCCTCCTGGCAAGGTCCCCGCTCCCCAGCTCCGAGCAGAAACAGGTAATGTGGTCTGACTACGGCCAAAACGGGGGGGCAGATAAGAGGCAGGATCACCTAGCAGTTAGAAACCTCGGAAACCAGGTCACCCTCCGTGTGCCCGTTGCACACACCTGTGGGTTGTGTTTGCCTGCTTTTCTAAGAATCTGGGTGACAGGCTTTAGAGAGCACCAGGCTGTGAGTTGCCTTGTGACTCAGTGGTATAAAGGGAGCACCAGAGGAGTCAATGCTCAGTAAAAACCGGCGACAAATCCGTGACGCGTCTGACACGGCAAACAACACACGGGCTGTGCAAAGCCGTGGGTGCGCCCCACGTGCCCTTACAGGAATCGGTGCGCGATCAGCCTTGTGGGCAGCGAACAAGCAAAGGACCTGTTTTCCTACGGCGTCGGCTCTTTACGTGACAACGTTTTGCTCTTCGCAGGAGGAGAAGAACGTCTTAGTGGTTTTTCCGCTCTAACCTGCTCCGGTGACGGCGAGTCTGATACGGCCACTGCAGGCAGAATGTGCCGGTACCCGCCTTTGGTTTGCAAAGCCGTCTGGGTAGGACCTTATAAAAAAGTGCCTAGCAGACTGCCTGGTTCATGGCGCTTTCGTCGCGGTGGGCTCTCAAGGCAATGGGCGAAGGTGGCTAACCACACCCAAAGAGCAGGAGAAAGCCGGGGCAGAGTGGGTGGGTACGCTCCGCACAAATCAAAGACACAGCAGGGGCAACATTTGCAACTGGTCTATTTGTGAGAAGCTCCTCAGCACCTCGCTCTTGGGAGGACAAAGAAATATTTCTACAGCGCAGCTAAGCACAGAGGCAGAGCGATGTTGTCACTGGATGGGCGCTGATCCCACTGAGATAAGGAGAGCGTGGGTGGGATGGCACCGGTTGGGGCAAACAGGAGGCAAACGTGCAGCCCCACGAATGGTGGCAGAAGGACCGGGGTGCAGCTTGAAGCAAAATTTAGACCTTGTGCTCCCGGAGTGGTCCGAGCTTCTCACGACCCATTCGTAGCAATGGGCTGCATGGCTGGGCTGAGCAAGCGGCCCTGGAGCAGCGATGTTTTGCAGCAGCTGAGAACGTGGCCCGGGGTGGTTTTAGAGCTGCCGGGGGTTAGTGCTCTTTGTATCTTGCAATCTCCCTCCTAGATGTTAGCGCCTTCTACGGTAAACCCAGCTGTGCCGCCTTTAAAACCACATCCTGCAGGGTGAGCACGGCAACCCGAAGCAGCAGCTCGCGGGGTGTTCACCTCCCCATGCTGAAACTCAAGGGTTAAACCACCCCCAGCCCCCACCACTGCTGCTGTTTCCTTTCTTTCTTCCGAGCTGTTGCTCTGCAGGGCAACAGAAGCGTGGCTCGCTCAGCCAGCCTTAGACCAGAAACGCTCCCAGGCATCACAGCATCTCTTGGGCCCTTCTCCTTAAGTTACTACCTGCCCCATTGCCGCTGCTTTGGGAACCGCAGCTTTTACAATCGGGCAGATTTCAAATCTGCGTGTTGAGCGCGTGGGACCTCAGCTACTTCGCTTGCCCCAGGCAGCAGCCCCAGGCCCGCTCCCCAGCTCCTGCCGACCCCTTCCCCGCACTCAGGCCCCGCTCCCCGAGGCGCAGCAGCGCATTTTCGTACGCGTAGTTGTCCCCCCACCCTGGCACAGTCTGCTCCCAAACCCCTCGCAGGCTGCTGCAAGGGGAGCCAATGCAGACCCTCGGGCGCTCTCGCTGTCTCGGGCTACTCCTGACCTGGGAACTCCCCGTAACGAAACCCGTTTTTCTTTAACGGAGGCAAAAACACGGGGGAAATCTTTTCCAATGCATACCTGGGGGTGCTGCCTCCCATTTTATTAATATATTACAGTTCTTAAACGTATATAAAAAGGTTAAAAAGAATCTTTACCAACAGCCAAGAAGCCCGCCATCTTTCTAGCAGAAGCCAGGCAGAACTCAAGTTACAGAGCCGAAATGAGGAGAGAAAGGGCAGCAACAAAGGACGGGCAACAAGAATCTCGAAGAGCGATAGCTCTGGAAAACGAAAGTTGGCCAGCAAATGTATTTGTGTACACCCCTTAGGGTACAACACGCCCCGAGAAATGTGTTTAGCCTAGACTACGCTATGGAGCATCAGTACAAATGGAGTCCGTGAAGGCTCTAGGATGAGAAGGACACCCTAGCAAAAGGGTCTGATGCTCTCTCGGATTTTGTAGGTCCTGGGCTTTCTCTCTGTGGCCCCAATGCATTCGTTTCCATTCCAGTGAACAAGCTGTTTGAGAGCAGGGTGCTAGTCCTGGGTCTGAGCCAAAGGGTCTCAGTTCCAACCCGGGAAACGTGAAAATCCCTGTTGTGCTGTCTCAGTCAGACTGCAAGGCTAAGTGGGGGCTTCAAATCTTAGCTGAAATATCCGAGTCCTGCTATTTAATAGCAACAAAGATCTAAGACTCAGCCAAGCACTTACATTTCCTGATAGGAGGCTTTCCGAAGCCTTGGGAAGGCGCCAAATCCCCCCGTGACCCTACGAGGACGTTCTGCCGAGGGTCTGAAACATAAAGGTCGCTGGATGCAAAGTGGTACTCAGCCCCCCTCCTTTCCTACCGAAGAAGGGCTGGGGGATGAACAGGTCGGTCTGCGTGTACTGGTAGAAGCGCTTCTCATTTTTTTAAAGGGAAAGTGTTCGTTTCCACTGAAGTATTTTCATTCCAAGCAGCAGCTTTTCTGTGAAAATGTACCGTTTTGTTTCTAATACACTGACTGCCTCTGTTCCTTTTGTTACAGTCCTGGGCAGCAAAACTAAGACAGGCTACGGAGATGGGAGCAGGACAAGGTCAGAGGCCCGTCACGCTGAGAAGGACCCACTCTTTGCCCGCTAGCGAGCCAGGGAGGCACGGCGAGCGAGTGGAGGCACTCGGGATGGAAATTAAACGGGAGGGCAAACCAGAGTATGCAACGGGAGCAGAGAGAGGGCGAGGTGTGAGGGAAAAGGAGGCCAGGAACCACCAGTGAGGCTGCAGTCCTTTAATGAGAAGGAAAAGTTGCCTTGCCAATGCGCTCATTTGATTCTTTTCCCTAATGTCAAACCGAAGGCGGAAGGAATACATCAGGGTGGGACAGCGGATGGCAGCAGGGTGCCTGTCCTGTGTAGCCGCCTGGCTTCCCCCAAACCCCCTGGGCCTCAGCAGGGCTGCAGAGAGCCGGGACCGCGCTGCGCGGAAGGGCTTAGCCCCTCCGCCGCTGTTTTCCAGCCCGTCATCCGTGGGAATTTCAGAAGCCCCTGGATTCCAGGCCAGCATAGACTTCCCGCTGGCCTTTCCGGATGGGCTGTGGGAACAGCAGAGATGTTAGTCCGGGAATCCTTACTAATACACCCTCAAACAACGGCGGGGGCTTGGTTCACGCAATGCATGGAGAAAACTACGACCGAGAGAGCAGGCTAGTGCGCAACTAGCGTGCCCAAGAAGCTGCTCCCGACTCCCTGTGCCAGCAGCAGGAGAAGGGGCTCTGCCCTCACCACCTTTTCCCTCCGCTCCCGGGAAAGCTTGGGGGTTGACTGCCTGCTTCTTCAAAGGAGCAAAAAGGATAACTGCTACAGATGCCCTGCTCTGGCTATCCCTCCCCAACCAGCAGGGAGAGATGGAAACAAGGCAGGTTCTCCATACCTCGTAGTCGGGGTTTGGAACGGGGGGCGGACGCTGCATCTTCTGACCTGCAAGAGAGGCAAAGAGAGGTCGTCCTCGGCGATGATTCATATGACACAGCACGGGGGACTTTCACGGAGGTGATCCCAGGGTAACGCATACCGTGGGTCAACTCGCACAGCTTTACTATGAGCTTCGAGCTTTTAAAGACCCGACTGCTGCAGGCAGGAGGCCTTATGGTCATTCAGGAAGAAATCAGCTTTCTTTTAGAAAGGGTAAATTTCTAGCTTTCCTGGTGCTGAAGAAATACTTGAAAACAAGCAGCACAGGCCCAGGCTGCAGGTCCCCAGTATGGATACCAGATCTATACTCCTCTGCCCCAGCAAGCTGCACAGGCATGAGCACATCACCGCATTTCTGTCGAACCCAGCGCACAACACGCACAGTAAGCACACAATAGGGAATTTAGACCTGCTGAAAGACTTATATCGGTTTTGTGGAGGCTAGGGGAAAAGCGGCAATGCCTGGTCTGCACAAAGCCTGGCCGGTGAGCACCCACGGTACTTGTCTGACAGGCAGTCTCCTGGCACAAATGTCACCGGCACCGCTTCTTGAACAAATTGCTAGGTTAACGGCTGGACTTGATGATCTTAAAGGTCTTTTCCCACCTGAACGATTCTATGATTCTATGATTCTAAATCTGGACCAGCATCGTGAGGTCACCACCCTGCATCACTTTACCCCGGCATTTATAACCTATGAGCCCCACTGCTGGACCCACTGGGTCACCAAACCGTGGCCTCAGAAGCCAGAAATTCAAATTTGTAGTTTTAATAACACCACGATTTCTAATCGCATGTTCTGTGTGCGGGCCTGACTCTTGGTCTTTGATTGCCTGAGCCGGCAGGTGAGTATCCCAGAGCCAGGCTGGGTTTGCGGCTGCCCTTGCAAGCTGAGCATCTGCCCTGCCCTGTTTGCTTCGGCACAGACTCAACGCTGCTGCACAACAGCCTGTGAAATGGTTTCCTACGGGCAGGAAAGGCCTTTGACCCAACACGGCAGCAGCACAGATCCCATGCAAGAAGGCAGCCCGGAGCAACGCGTGTGGCAAGCAGGAGCATCGTTTGGCGAGGTCTTGGAGGCCTGGGGGGAACAGAGGAGGCTCCATCACTCAGCAGGGGCAAGTGCTCGATTCAGCGCTTAGCGGACATCACGGAGAGCAGAGACACCTGAAACGGCTCTTACCTCGTGGCCGACCGCCAGCGCTAGCGCCCGCTCTCCCCTTCCTGTCCTTGCTGAAGTAATAGACGAGAATCAGCACCCCGAAGGTGATGAGAAGATCGGCGGTGATGATCCCTGTCACTGCCAAGGCATCCAGCTCCTCACAGTTTGTGCACACTGCCAGGAGGAGAGATGAAGATGCTCAGAGACGGGCACCCTTCCTTTCCGGCAAGGAAGGGCCAGGCCTCACTCGTCTGCTTAATGCTAGCAGCAGAGGTACAGTTCTGGGTGGGACGGAGAAAAGAGCAAACAGAAAGGAAGGGGGACAGCGGAGGCCCCTCTATCTGCCCCGCCGTTTCGGTCTGCAGACAGACACAGACGGGGGGCTGCTGTGTGCAGCCTCCTTCACTACCCTCTGCTGTTTGCGTGCCTGAGCCGGAGGGTGCAAAACATCTGCTAGATCATTGCCCCCCCCGCCTATGCTGGACTGTAAGTCCTGGATGCAGGGCGGCTGCCCAGATTTCAAATGGCTCAGAGGCTTAAATCGCGCCGTCAGGGTGGAGGTGAACTCCCCCCGGTTGATGGGTCGCAGAAACCAGGCTGTGTGCTCCAGATGAGAGGTTTCCGCTCTGCAAGACAAGAAATGCCTCTGGCCTTTGTGACAGACATTGCTCTTGCCTTGTAGCATGGCAGAAACCATATAAGAAAAAGATCGCGCGCCGTTTATGTGGGAACACGCAACCAGCTTGAGGAAGGGAAAGGCATGGAGAGCGGGGAGATTCCCTTTGCTAAAAATGTGCTCTTGGCCACTTTTACTGCCCACCCAGAGCAGGAAGGGCTTCAGCAGAATCGCATTCACCCAGCCCAGCAGCACTGAAAGTCAGGGCTCGGCTCCTAGCATGTGTCACTGCAATGTGTCGGCTTTATCTTTGGCCCGCGGACCGAGCGCTTTTTCGCTCACCTCTGGCGTTCAGGTACATGTCATACGTCTTGCCGCCGGCCGAACAACTCACGTTGGCAGGAGCGCTGTCGTGGTTCTCTATAACGTACTTCTCCCCGCTGGTTTCCACTTTTGTCCCAGCTATGCCCCACTCTATGCTGCCTTCGGTCACGGGACACGTGATTGTCACTGTGGTTCCGGAAATCTCCACCAGGAATTCTATATTGGAAGATGGGCCAGCGAGAAGAGAAACCAGCATTACACACAGCTTCTGAGCAGGCTTCCCTGCCCACCCGTGGTCCCACCACCACAGTCTGCTCTGCAAAACCTTTCATGTCACGGTGGAATGTAAATTCCCTGCGCACGTGTCTTCTGCATGCATGTTTTCCTTTAGGTTTTTACAGCGATTCTTTGCAACGCTGAACAGTATCAAAATACCATCCCAGAGCGTTCGCCTTTATGTCAGAGAGCCTGGCCGCCCGCCGTCATCGTGCTGTTTACCCATATGCTTGCTGGTCCCCGCAAATGGCCAACCCTGCTTGGAGACCGCTAACAGTAATTAGGGGCAACTCGTTATAGCTGGTTCTTCTGATCGGCGATGACAGTAGCAACTAACGAAGAGGGAATTCGTTCCTCCTGAAATACTGCTTGAACTCAAATATTTCTACCTGCCTTTTAGTCCTCACCTGTGAGGCATCTGCAGTCTTTATATCATGCTAAATAGTTAAGAATGCTGGTAAAATACACTTACCCGCCTGTGCTTCGGTATCGTCTGCAAAGGAGAGAAGAACAGTGTTAACAAATCAGCCCGCTATTACCTTACTGCTTGTTGCTGTCGGAAAATGCCCAACGCTGCTTGGGGACCGCTAGCAACAATTAGGGACAATTCACGGCAGCCAATTTTTCAAAGCCGGGATCAGGAACAATTGATGAACAGGGAATTTTTCCTATCCTACAATATTAGCAAAAGTCAAATACTTCTATTTGACTTTTAGTCCTCACTTGTGAGGCACAGCTGGTCTTTTAATCACACTAAGTAGTTAAGAAGGCTGGTAAAATACACTTACCCTGCTGAGCTGTGGTGCCAACTACAAAAGAAAGAATAACAAGCGTTAGGTAATTTAGCTACCGGTGCCGTACACCTTTCCTACTTCAAGGGCATCCTTTCTGAACTCAGCTGCTGGCAAGAGCTGTTTATGCCCCTCTGTCTGTGCTGAAGGCAGCAGAAGCATTCTGTTAGCTGAGACAGGATGTTGTTCGGAAGCGAAGTCTTTCCCCTTGGAAGCCATTTTGAACACAGACTAATGCAGAATGGAAATTTGAATCATTTTCCGACCCAGTTTAGAAAAAGGGTTCTTGCAAGCTGTGCGGCCAGCAATTTTGCTTGATTACCAGGGACCGAAGACTGCTGGAAAACCTTGCCTGGTCTCTGCAGTAAGAACCACTGTCCTCTGCAAGAGCGTACTCGCTGGAGGACTGGACCCTGATGCTTGGTTTAACGCTGTAAAGCAGTTTTTCTCTCTTGGTAGGAAACGAGTAGCTCCATTGAAGTCTCTGGAGCTGGAGTATTATAGGAACAGCTTTTAGGAGATCCGAATCAGAGTTGTGATTTGCTTTAAGGACATTTGTCGACAGAAAATAACAGAAGTAAAGAAAGCAACCACCTGTATTCGTGTGTTTGGCGCTATTGTCTCATCCCAGGTAATGCTTGCTTCACAACAGGAGTTACTTGTAACAAAATTGTAGATTTGAAATTCCACAGGCATAGGGCTTGGCTGGAGAGAAGGGGACCTGATGCTTTTTTCTTTAGAGAAGATGAATTGAAATTTGAAAAAAGAACAGACCGTTGCTAAAGCGAATGCTTTCAATCTTCTCAAAGAATAGCAGTTGGGATTTGCAGCACATTGGCAGAGTACTTGTAGTTTTATTGTAGTATCTCTTAATCACCTTTCCCACTTATCTCTCATAGTTACCAGCTTCTCTGTAGTCTTTACAGATACGCTGCACTTCATCCTAAACCAGCTTTCTAAATGCTGCTCGGTTCAAACTGGTAAGATGGAAATTGCTACCACTCCCATGATATCGCGGTGAACCTGAACTGAAGTTACTTGCCCATGATCACAAAGCGGTTTAAGAAAAGTGCATGAATAAAGCATAAAGATAAAGTTCAAAATACAGAAGCTTATAGTTCACACTGCCGCAGAAAGCGGTACATCAAGCTCCAACCCTGCTGCGTGAAGTTTGGAGACCCCGTGTCTTAGGGAATCGGCCAGCAAGCAAAAATTCACCGGGGACCTCAGGTCCTGTTCTCCAGCCCGGGAGGGTTGGAGTCCCCTTTCTCTGTCCCTGCGTCTGCACCCCGAGGGGAACGCTGACTCGGGAGAGCAGCAGCTCCACGGGCACTCTACGTGCCACTTGCAAAGGACGTGGCTGCAGGCACTTTGCAAAACCAGTCGCCCGCCCCATGCTTTCTCCTCCGCAGCCCCTTCTGGTCCCCGCGGGCTGCTGGCCAGCTGTACTCACCCACGCACAGCAGGAGCCCCAGGAAAGGCAGGGACCGCTCCAACCTCATCCTTGTGTTCCTCCTTCTCTTGCTCTTCCCTACCACATCAGACTGGCATCGCAGAGGCTGGCTGCGAGGGAAGAAAGAACACATCGGCTTTTCAAGTTCTCGCTTACAAGAAAGAGGCCCAAGATTTTTTTCCCAGAATTGTGCACGGCGACGAACTGAGCGGCGCTGGGGAGACTCACTGTTTCCAGCGAAACCTGCAGGCAGCCAAGGAAGGCACAGAACACGTATGATAAAATAAGCCCATGTCAGGAAGTACGGAGGCTCAAAACGTCTTCGCGGAACGTCACTGACGGCAAGGGGTGGCTGCTCTGCACCAGCCCAGCTCGAGTCTCCAGAGACCTGTTGTAACTGCCCGAGGAGCAGCAGGAGAGATAAAGGAGCCTGGGTCGCATTTGCTGCCAGGACATTGCTAGCAATTTTTCAACGCGAGTGCGTCTGAAGTTCAAACTACTGCAAGCAACTTAACAGAGGAGGGAATAAACAAAGCAACCAGAAACGCTAGGCTCAGCTCAGCACCTAGAGGCACTCTATGGCCCGCAGAAATGAGCCTGTAAGTGCCAGGCTGTAAAACCTGGGGGATTCAGTCCCTGTGATGCAGGCCGGACTCTGCTCTTGTTATTTTGCTCTAACACAACCCATTTATTCCTGC